GACGCTGATGCTGTCGAACCAGGTCAAGGCCAAGCTCGACGCCGAACGGTGTCTTCGCTCCGCATCGTCAAGACCAACGGCAAGGCTTACCACTCGCATCACATGGCCCCCGGTCTCTGCCACCTATGAGGAGCTCGTTCGCGCCGCCAAGGCGTACAACCCCTTTCGACACGCCCTCGACGCCCCCCACGGCCAAGATGAGTCTCGTCGGTCACCAACGCCGTCCTGCCCACCACGACCGTCCTCGATGAGAGCTACTGGAGCACCAACCTCCGCAGCCCCGTCCTGTTCAACCAGGCGGTCCAGACCATCCTGACGGCCGAGGAGTTCAGCGATGTCGACCTGCTCATCGAAGTCGGCCCCCACTCTGCCATGTCCGGCCCCATCAAGCAGATCAAGGCCGCCCTAGGCCGCGAGAAGCTCGAGTACATCCCAACCCTCCTCCGGGGTACCGACTCGGCCGTTCAGCTCCTCAAGGTCGCCGGTGAGATGTTCCTGCGCGCCTACCCCCTGGAGATGGACCAAGTCTCGACCGCCTACGTCGAGTCCGGCAACAAGCTGGCCCCCGCGCCCGCTGTCATCGTCGACCTGCCGCCCTACCAGTGGAACTACGCCCGACCATTCTGGGCCGAGAGCCGTGCCTCCCGCGAGCACCGTCTCCGCACCCACCCGCGCCACGATGTCCTCGGTGAGCGCACTCTCGGTGGTTCACCCGCCAACCCGACCTGGAGAAACATGCTCCGCCTTCGTGACCTGCCTTGGCTCGGCGACCACGCCCTGGGTGGCGAGGTCGTGTTCCCCGCCGCTGGTTACTTTGCCATGGCCATCGAGGCCCTCACCCAGCTTAACGAGCTGAGCAGCACCCCCGTTGATATCCACAACTATGTTCTCCGCGACGTGTCGATCCAGAAAGCGCTTGTTGTGCCCGACGAGCGATGACGGCATTGAGGTCCTGCTCGGCTTGAGCGCCTCCATGTACGGAAGCGGATGGTGGGATTTCACCGTCTCGTCCATCGACGACGAGGGGCGTCAAGAAGGAGCACATGGACTGGTAGCGTCGGCATCCAACAAACAAGCCGCGCCGCCTCGCTCCCAGAGCCGGGTGCCCAGCTTCCCCCAGGCGTGCCAGACGGCAGAGGGCTTGGAAACCAGGCCCTGCGTGACGTCGGGCTTCCGACTACCGGGCCCGACCTATCCAGGAGTATGGATTGACATCCCGCCTTCGACCGGCACAAAAGTACCAGGGCCAGCTGCACCACCGCGGTCAAGCAATCGGTTGACGCCTCCCTGGGCGAGTCGCGGTACGTCCTGCACCCTGCGACCGTCGATTCCGTCCTGCAGCTCAGCATCACCGCCATTTACGCTGGCCGCACCACCGCCATCAACTACGGTGTCATCCCCATCCAGCTGGACGAGGTTACCATCTGGCCCCCTACGGAGGAGCAGGTCAAGACTTCGACGGCCAGCGCCTACGCCTGGGTCGACAAGCGCGGTGTCCGCTCCTTCGAGAGCAGCGCCCAGATGCAGGCGGCTGATAAGAGCCTGCTGTTGGAGATTGTCAACCTCCGCGGTGTGAGCTACGAGGCTGCCGTACCCCAGAAGGCGCCCTCTGCCCTGACGGAGCGTCTTTATGGCGAGATCAGCTGGGAGGTTGACTTCGACACGCTCGTCGAGTCGGCTGACCTGAAGGGCTTGACCGTCCCCGAGGCGGTGCACCTCGCGCTGTTCAAGCGCCCCGAGACCAAGGTCCTGCAGGTTGGCGCCTCGAATATTGAGGGTGTAAAGCAGATCCTCACCAAGAGCCCCCGTGCCTCGTACACTGTTACCGTGGCCTCGGACGAGGAGCTGGAGTCGGTCAAGACCGCCCTGAAGGAGTACCCCCGTGCCAAGGTCGTCAAGTTGGACCTTACCCAGGAGCTCGCCGCCCAGTCTCTTGCGGCTGGCGCTTTCAATGTGCTTGTTGTCCGTCAAGCGGTTTCTGAGGAGGACCTTGCCAAGCTCCGCGAGACCGTCAAGGTCGGCGGCTATGTCCTGTCCGAGACCTCTTCCGGCACGGCCAAGGCGGCCAAGATCTCTGCGGAAGGTCAGGAGACTAAGGAGGCCACTCAGCACTCCGTCCAGCTCGTCTACGGAACCGCTCAGACGGCCATTGTCTCCTCCGTTTGGGCTGCCCTGCAGGCCTTGGGTTGGACCGTCGAGGTCACCGCTCTGAAGGACCTCGCCGACGGCAAGATCCTGTCCCATGTTATCATCCTCGCCGACTTTGAGAGCCCTCTCCTCTTCAACATCACCGACGAGGAGTTCAGCCGGGTCCAAGCCATCACCAACACGACCTCGTCTCTCCTTTGGGTCACCCCGGGCGGCCTCCTCGAGGGCAAGCGGCCCGAGTTCGGCATGGTTCACGGTCTGGCCCGCACCATCAGCTCAGAGCAGGCCTCGCTCGACTTCAAAACCGTCGACATCGACCAGGACACCGTCACCTCGGAAGACACCGTCTCCGCCATCGTCCGCGTCGCCAAACAGCAGGCCGCCCCCACCGGCGACAAGTCCGACCGCGAATTCTGCGTCGCCAACGGCAAGACCTACATCAGCCGCCTCGTCGGCAGCGACAGCCTCAACAACTCCTTCTCCGCCACGCGCGCTCCGGAGCCCGCCGCCTTCACCCCGGAGAGCCGCATCTCGGGCGCCATCGTCAAGGGCCGCGTCATCTTCCACCAGGAGGCCGTCGTGGAGGACGTCAAGCCCGGGCACGTCGAGGTCCGCGTCGAAGCCAGCGGCCTCACCAAGGAGGGCGTGCTCGTCATCTCGGGCGCCGATTACCCCACCACCTTCAGCCACGAGATCGGCGGCGTGGTGACCCGCGTCGGCACGGGCGTGACCGCCCACAAGGCGGGCGACAAGGTGGTCGGCTTCCACGCGGACAAGTTCGCCAGCTACCAACAAGTCCTCGCCGACATGCTCTCCTCTCTCCTCACCGACACGGACTCACCACCACCGTCAGCGCCCTCTCCGCCTACGCCTCGGCCCTCCACGGCCTTAACACCCTCGGCCAAATCAAAGCCAACGACAACGTGCTCGTCCTGCACGGAACGGGCCTGAGCGGCGTGGCCGCCGTCAAGGTGGCCCTCGCCAAGGGCGCAGTCCCCTACGTGGTGGTGGAAACCGCCGCCGAGGCGGAATTCTTCCAGACTCAGCTCGGCCTCGACGCCGAACAGACGCTCTTCGCGGGCCACAGCGAGGACGCCGAAGCGGCCGCGTCGGTGCTCCTCGACATCCTCAACGAGCTGACCGCCGGCCACGGCGCCGACATTGTCTTCAGCGCGGGCAACACCGACCAGGCCACGGCGCGCGAGGCCTGGCGCCACATCGCGCCGCTGGGTCGTTTCCTTGATGCCGGCCGCAAGGACGTGCTGCACCGCCGCGCGCTGGATTCGGTTCCTACCGCCCAGCGCGGCGCGTCGTATCTGTCGTTTGATCTGGTCGGGCTGTTTGACTCCCGCCCGGAGGTGCTGGCGCGCCTGCTGCCGACCATTGTGAGTCTGGTGCAGCAGGGTGCGGTGGTGGCGCCCGGGCCGGTGAAGACGGTGCATCTTTCGGGGCTGGATAAGGCGGTGGCGGGGTTTTCGGATGCGTTTGGCGCGGTGAAGACCGTGGTTACGTATGAGGCGGACGCTGAGAAGACGGTTGCAGTGGTGCCGGCGCGCCCGCCGCTTCGTTTTAACCCCGACTCGAGCTACCTGCTTGTGGGGTGCCTGGGTGGGTTGGGCCGCAGTCTGACGTCGTGGATGATGGAGTCTGGCGCGAGGCGGTTTACTTTCCTGTCGCGATCTGGTGCCGACTCGCCCTCGGCTGCTAAGTTGGTCGAGGATATGGAGAAGGCTGGAGCGGTGGTGCAGGTTGTGCGTGGTGATGCTACCTCAAAGGAGGATGTTGTCCGCGCGGTTGCGCAGGTGCCGGCTGAGCACCCCATCCGTGGTGTGGTCCACGCTGCCATGGTTCTCAGGGTAAGTTGTTTCTATTTCTTCCTTGTGGGTAGACAAGAAAAGCACGAAGCTGACATCTCCACAGGACGGTCTCTTCCACTCCATGACCTACAACAACTGGAAGACATCGGTGTCTCCCAAGATCCTGGGCGCGGCCAACCTCCACGCCGTCCTCGCCGACGAGCCGCTCGACTTCTTCCTCATGACCAGCTCCGTGTCGGGCGTGCTCGGCAACACCACGCAGAGCAACTACGCCGCGGCCAACACCTACCTCGACACGCTCGCGCGCCAGCGCCGCGTGGCCGGCAAGCCCGCCACGTCGGTCGTCCTGCCCATGGTGCTCGGCGTGGGCGTCGTGGCCGAGAACGTCGAGCTGGAGCAGTCGCTCAAGCGCAAGGGCATGTACGGCATCGACGAGGAGGAGCTTCTAGGCGCCTTCGAGGCCGCCATCACCAGCCACGGCATCGACACCGCAATCGATCACATCGTCGTCGGCCTGGACCCGGCCAAGCTGCAGAAGGCGGTGCGGGATGAGTTGGCCACCGACAGCTTCTGGGTTGAGGACGCCCGCTTCAGCCACGCCGTGCACGACATGAACGCCTCGGCCGAGGATGGCAGTGATGGTGAGGGCGGCCAGGCCCAGAGCATCATCTCTATCATCAAGGCTGCTGCGTCGCCTGCGGAGGCCGTGGGCGCGGTCACGGAGCACTTTGTTGGGAAGTTGGCGCGCATGTTGCTGTTGGATTTGGATGAGTTTGAGCCGGATGTCAAGTCTATTGCCTCGTACGGCATTGACAGCATGATTGGTGCGGAACTGCGGAACTGGATCTTCAAGGAGTACAAGCTGGACGTGCCGTTCCAACAGCTGTTGGGTGAGACGCTTACCATCACCAAGTTTGCCATCCAGGTATGTGCGTCTCAGGGGATTGAGGTGGCTGCTTAGGGGTTGTCTGGAGGGGGGCTCATGGGGTAAAACTGTATTGGGAAGGATTGGTTTTCCTACAGTCAAGATTGTCATTTTGGGTTTCATTTGGTTTTCACGTTAGGCTTTTGAGTTTTGCATTTGGTCATTATAGTTAGTCGTCATTCTTCGTTTCAACAAGATTTCCTCCTTGCTTCGAAGTCCCCTCAGAATGTGTGTTGATGGCCAATGAACCGTGTCCAGTGTTTGGGTGACTCGGCGCCGACAAACCCGACGGATCCTTTCCAATCGCCGAGGATAGGGGTCTCTGCCTGCCGTGGCTTGACTTGGCACGCTCGATTGGTTGGTAAACGCGGATTTGGTTGGTTTGGCAGGCAGCAGTGCAGGGAGTCGAGTCCTGGTTGCAAGGGAGGCATCACAAGCGCGTTGAACCAAGTGAAGATTTATTTCCTTCATCTCGCACAGCATCTCCCGTGGTTTACACAGTATTGACATCGATTCGCTCCAACCTGAAGCATCTTCTTCGCCATCACCGAAACCCAGCCCCAAACCTCATAATGGCACCCTCACAATCCGCCGCACTCCAACTCGCAGCCCATGCCTTCGCCACCATCTTTGTCGGTTTCGGCATCAATGCCATCATCCGACCAGAACATGCCTTGACTTTCTTCGAGTTCTCTCCGCCTTCCTCGCCTGACGATGCCAAGATGGTAGACAGCTTGATGGCCGTCTACGGCGCCCGCGACATCTTCATGGGCCTGGCCATCTACTCGGCCGCATTGTTTGGAACCAACAAGTCCCTCGGATGGACTCTCATTGCGGCCAGCGGTGTTGCCGCCGCTGATGGTGCTGTTTGCTATCTGCACGGGCAAGGGGAGTGGAACCACTGGGGCTATGCGCCGATGATCACAGTTGTGGGGGCGGTGTTGTTGGGATTGTTTGATGGGGCCAACAAGCCCGCGACAAAGAAGGCTTGAGGGGGCTTCGGAGAGGTTTTTGGGGTGGGAGGGGGGGGAGGATGAGATAGGTCATAATGAGGAGGTGTGGGCTTGGTGTTGTTGCAAAAGGGATGCAGAACGGCTGTATCGAACGAGCACCACCTAGTAGGGTTAGCGGTAACCGTTCAATACATCAAGGCGGAAACTAGGCCGTTGCAAGTCTCCGGTTGTCTCCTTCGCCGGACAATGACAAGAAATAAACCCATGAACATGGATGTGGTCATTATCCACAGGACACATGAAAAACAACATAAACCCACTTGTTTTATGGCATGAACCGATCCCCCATTCAGGCTCACAACCCATCGTCGAGCCAAACACCCCCCATTATCTAAAACCAGTTTACACCAATAACTGCAACCATAAGTCAACAGCAACGACAGATATGACCCTCAACCTCAAACCCCCTATCCACCGCCATCCCCTCAACCCCCGAATACATGTACCTAAGGAGGTACCTAGGAACCCAAACCATCAACCCCCGCCCAACCCCCCCACAACCTCCCTCGCGAACACCTTCATCCGCCTCGTCAAAATCCTCCTCCAACTGAAACAAAGTCGACACCGACAACGGCGGCTCCCTCTCCAACCCAACACCACTACCACCACCACTCCCACTCCCACCCCCATCCGCACCCCCAACCCCACTCCCACACCCCAACCCACCCTCCCCCCCCAGCCCTAACACAACCCCCCCAACCCTCCACCGCACCCCCTCCAACCGCTGCGCCAGCGCCTGCGCAAGCCGCCCCACCCGGTGCAGCTCACCGGGCACCAGCCGCGGGCCACCGGTCGGTGGTGGTGGGGGTGGTGCGGTGCCGGTCAGGCAGTAGGCGCCGAGTGATGTTGGTGCGGGGCCAGGAACGGCAGCGGGGAGGACGTCCTCGGTTAGAGGATTTGCAGATGGGTGGCGGTAGTGGGGAAGGTTGAGGTGGGATGGGGGGATGTTGGGGTAGGCAGG